TGCTTTGCTCTTTACCTGTATTCAAAGGGTATTAAAAAAAATTAACAAGCCCTGACTACATAAAAGGAAGTTGCTGAATTTACAACCCAGCCTGCAGCTAGACCACCTTGCCTGCCGAGCAGGTTTGGACCAGGCCAAGTCTGCCATGGGAAACCCACTGCGGAGCGGCTGGCTGATAGGGGTGATAGGAGATAGGGCTCCAGCCCTGCTCTGCTGCTCCTGGGCTGCACCGCAGCCAAACAGCCCGGCAATGCGGGCAGTGCCCTCCTGCAGCGGGACCCCTGGGCTGGAGGCTCCCCACCGGCACTCTGAATCTGGCAGCGCGGATGCCAGCGCATTCGAAAATCCCATGTCCAAGGCAGGATGGCATCCCTGGAGCCTGAGGCGAATTCAGACGGGCTCGTTGCAAGCTCGTCTGCTGTTTCGCCTGGCTGGTGTTTTATAGGAACTGCAGCACTTCAGCACCCCGAGCTGTGGCTGGGAGAAGGAGGTGGCTGCACGTCAGCGGCAAAAGCGGCGGTCGCGGGTGCTTGGACTCTCTCTTGGGGGATGCTTCTGCCCAGCACTGGCCTGTGGTTCGTCTTTGACGGTTACATGCCAGATTCATTTAAGGGACATCCACTGCACAGCTGGCAAATGTAATTGAGAGGAGCAGAGAAGCAGTTTAAAGATAGGCACAGAAGCCTGCAGAGCCTGAAAGCAGGCAGGAAACCCATCTTAAGCGTGTTCCTTCCTTTGAGGCTGAAGCTGAATCCCACAATATGTTTTCTTCCCACTAATGCTTGCCTAGCTTCCTTTGGAAACAATTTAGTCTCTGCCCATGGTAGAATGTTTTTATCCATTAAGAAACGGATATTTTAAAGAAACCATAAGTCGATCTGGACAGGGATTAGGAAGCAGCAATTCAGTGTATTTGCTGGGCCCATAATTCAGGACTTAACCTCAGAGCAGCCACGTTGCATTTCGGAAACAATAGGGCACTCGCTGCCTATGCCAAAAGGCTTCTTAAAAGTAATGTAATACTTAAAAAATGTATATTTAAAGAGAAAAAGAGAGAGAGAGAAAGATTTTACTTTAAATGCATACGGTGAAGCATTCTGCTGATGACTGGCCTACATCAAAAACCGTGCACTGGCTTTAAGTAATGGATTGGAAATCAAGCTGGTTAAAGCTGAGCAGTTTCCAGATCAGGAGATCTGAAAGCTCTTCACCAGCAAAGACAATGTCTCCCAAACCGTTCAGCAGATACTAAGGGTAGGAGAGGCAGGATGGAGTTTGCAAAAGGATCCAGCATTTACTGTTCTGCCTGTGAAGTCAAGGGAATTTGGTTTCGCTGGAGCAATATGAAGAGCGTGCAAGGGGATGTTAAGTGCATTAATCAAAACAGCTTGCTCTGTTACTGAGTAGATCAAATTTAAAATCACTTTGCAATTGTCCTCGTGTACACAAGGCCCCTACATGTTGCCGGACAATGCACACAATTGCTTTTGAGTGGTTGAAGATGTTTCCACCACAAAGCTAGAACACAGGAGCCGGCTGCGTGGGCGGTCCTCCTCTGTTGCAATGGGAATAAAATGGTTCAGCATGAACCACTGCTGAAACATGGGCAAGGGCAAAGCATCGTGCAGAGAATTGGGGGCTGCTAGGACCATCCCGGTTCTCCCCAGGAGGACGTGTATCTGTCACCATCCCACTTCCCCAGAGTGAGGGGGCCCTGAGAAGCGGCCGAAGGCGGGCAGAAGCAAGTTCCTTTAACATCTTGCTTCACTTTTGAGAGCTACTTGATTTTTTTAAGCTAGAGGACAAAACTCAAAATGAAGCAAGCATGCAAGGCTCTGGCTTTGCGTGCCCCGTAATAAGGAACCATTTCAAGCCACCCTAATGACAGCTTGGTGTCTCGCTGCAGAGATGGGAGAGCTGGGATTTCAAAACCTCAGATTTTCCAGACCTCACTGGAGAAGTATTGGGCCAAATCCTCAACAGAGGCAAACAGCTCTGCTCTGCTGAAGCCAGGGAAGCAGCGCTGGCTGATACAAGATGAGGGTCTGCCTGTCCTACCTGCCTGGCTACCAGGCCAGATTCTCATCACAGCTACACTGGGGTGAACCCAGAATGATGCTATTTTCCCCCCAAAGCAGCGTAAGTGGGAATGAAATCTGGTGTGTGGAGGGTTGCAAATGTCCGTCCCGTTTGCAGACAGGCATGGGAAGGGATTGATCGTCTGCCCATCTGCATGAGGTAAGGCAAGACTGAAGCCACTGAAATACACTGACACTGGGCAGTGGGAAACCAGTGTGAGAGCAGGATCTGACCCGCTCGGCCATGGTGCTGAGCACGCTCTCCTCCCATATTTCCTGGCATGCCCTTCAGAAATGATCGGTTTTCTCTTACCGGGAGGTTTTTGGTTTGAGACCATTTAACCTCAGGATGATCATTTTACATGGGGGCTATTTATAACCTCCAGGGGCTGCTTTACTGAAAGTCTTCTGCAAATGGCTGAAGGCCAGATTCTTCTCCCATTTACACCAGCGTCCTTGCCGTGATCTCTGCTGTGGCCACAGCCTTTGCTCCCGGGGAGGAAAGATTGGACTGGGCCAGAGCAAACACATCTCCAAAGGACCGCAGTTCCTTCCAAAGATAAATGCTGTCTCCTACGTGCCTGTCTGCTTCAAAGCACAAACCCCAGGTGCTGTGTTCAGGGATTTGAGGTGCCTGAACCCCCCTCGGTGGCTGAGGCTGTTTCTGAGCATCTCAGCTCCCCAGCCTGGTTTTGCCAGAAGCGGATTAGGAAGCGTTCGTGCAAACTGCTCAGTCAGCAGAACAGAGAGGCCAACCACCGCCGGCACAAGAGCGGAGGGCTGCCGGGCGTAGGTGATCGTGGAGGGAAAAACCTGCCTCTCGCTGGCCCCTTTGTAATGCCTGCACAGGAGTACAAGGATGCTAAAAAAATTAAGGTTGCGAAGCACCCAGGTAAAGGATAGCAGGGGCCAGATGAACTCCAGTTTGCCCCGTTCGTCCCTCCTAACCGATATCTCATTATGCTTTTTGCTAATCGGCTTCTCGTGTGTGTTACCTAAGAACTTGCCAAGTCGTGAGAATTACAGGCCTGTTAACTCCTGTGTTATTCTTGGCATGGGCTAGGCTCCACTTGCTTGGGTAAAAATTATGATCTTTGTGAATAAGCCATGTGTGTATGAGAAAAAAAGTTTTTTTTTTTTTTTTTTTTTATTATTATGATTGGTTATAGTCAGCATTGTGTCAAAAGGACAGGGCTGAGATTAAAATTACTGAGCTGATTCTGCTGCCAGTTACACTGGTAAGAACCCACAGTAATTTTAAGACAGTTCCTCCAACTTGGGAACGAGGGAGCCAAGAGCAGAGCGTGCACGAACTGCCTTTTGCAGCATTCCTGGTACTTTGGATTCACTCCGCAGGAATGATTTTAGATGGCTAATTTTGTGTGTCTCCACTCCTGCTGTCACTTGACATTTGGGAATTTGGCATGGACGGTAGCTTGTGGCCAGTTTCATTTTTTTCTTGTTGAATTTGTGTCATCACCTGATTCTTTGCTCCAAACAAGGCTCTTTGGGTTTCTGGCACTACAGGGGACTGTGCTAATTTAAAATACGCATCTTTTTTTCTTCTCCCAAGAATCTCTCTCTTTATTATGTAGCCAATGGAAGGAGCCTATAAAACTCTTTCTCTCTCTCCCTCTTGCTTTTTAAAACAAAAATCAAATGATAGTCCTACACAAAATGCCCAGGTTCTTCTCATAAACCATGCTAATATCAATGAAAATTCCAAGCATAAAGATTTGCATTTCAATGAGAAATAAATTAAATTTTCACTGTAATTTTGGGTTGGGAGGAGCGGGGCAGATTTTACAGTTCGGGTAACGTTTTCAAACATGTTTTTGCGCCTGAGACACCCTCTTTGCCAATGACACTGAGGTTTTCAAACATCTGCGTCACTTCTGAAAATGCAACACAAAAGCTTTTGGACCTTTTCATATGAAACCTTCCAAGAAGGGCCACTTTTCACCAAAACTAAAAATGCAGACAGCTTAAATACTATCCCTTAAATCCCCATTAGCATTTCTGCTGATTTTCGAAGGAAAACACCACCGAGATTAAAAATGCAAGGAAAAGGAGCACGTCTCACGTGCGGACGGGAGAACGGTCTCTCTTAACACATCCTGGTGGCATCTGGCTGTGCTGAGAGGTGCAGAAAGTGGGGAGCAGCAAGGCAGCTGGATATTTTCAAATGCACCGCTTAGTTTGGGGCTGAAATTCAGGTGCATGGGAATTAGCAGACTGACCTCTCTCGGGTAACTCTGGTGGCAATTCCTACCTCTTTCCTGGCAACAAGCTACGACGCAGATTCATGGGGAACGCCCGAGGGCTCAGCTATGCTGATGGCAAATATGGGAAGAGCAAAGCCTCTGTGTGTGTGTGTGTGTGTGCGCACGCGTGCGCCCATGCAGGTGTGCATACGTGTGGGGAATTATGCTGGAGCTGGGTGATGGATCACCAGACTTGGCATAAACACAATGCAACAAGATAAGAAACCATTTGGATTAGCATGTAAAGTATAATACACCCTTTCTAGTTGATGCTTAACCATCTATGCGGGTGCCTTCATGTCAAAGAAGCTACTGGATTCAAAGTACGTTGCTCTGATCTCCCTCACGTTCCCGCTGAAACTGCGCAGTTTTTCCTAAGACCCTGTATCTAATGGTGCACAGAGCGAAAGCACCTGGGTTTATGATTCAGCAGCTGTCTACTTATTTAATGGGAGCAAAAAGGCTTCCATGGTCAAGAAACCCAACCAACCCCCTCCTTGGCTTGTCTCTCCTTACCCAGGGGAGAGCCGGACTCCAGCCCTAAAATACCATCCGGAGGGAAGCTTGCTCGGCTGGGACAGCTCCGCTCCCTGCCCGGCTGTGTCAGGAGCACAAGGGTTCGGGGTGCGATGCCAGGCTGGGGCACCCAGCCAGTTACCTTGTATTGGAGTTTGAGCCTGGGACCCAAAGTGGCTTGGGGTGCTGAGGGATCCGCGGGGGTTGGGTGTTGTTGGGGTGACTCTCATGGACTGGCGCAGCCGTTCCAGCTCCCCATAGCGGTCGGTGAAGGGTTTGGCTTGGTCTTCTAGCTTTTGTCTGTGCCCTGGAACATGATAAGAGAGTCTGATATCTAATCAGTTACCCTTTGGCTAGAGCACCCTGGTTACACACAAAGTCAGCGCAGCCTCCACCTTCGCGGTTTGCTATTATTCGCATGGGGGTAATGTGTGGCAGCCCCAGCAGGGATCGGCTCCCCGGGGGGCTTTGCACAGCACGCACACGCGGGAAGACCTCGCAGTTCAGACAGACAAAGCGCGACAAAGAAGGGACACAGACTGACCCACACGGGAGGCCCCAGATCGTCCGGCAAGTCAGCATCCGATCAAGGAGCAGGATGCCAGTGCTGGGGTGAGAATGCCCTGTGCCGTGCCCAAGCAACCAGCCTACACCAGCCCTCAATCCCTCCGAACAAGGAGGGGAGATACGTGCAAGGCTGGAGAAACTCCATCTCCTGGCAAGGTGGCGATTGGGGAACCAGCAAAGGAAATGTCGAATTTTACGTATTTTCTACAGCATTTTCTCAGCGCATAGAGAACAAACTCTTGTCTTACTCCAGCCCCTGACCCAGCTCTGCCCACCCAACGGGGTCAGAGCCAAGCAGGGCTGGAGAAGGTGCAGGAGGAGAGATGGGAGCAGCCCGCCCTGGTACCACACCTTGGCCATCTCACTTTGCTTCTTTCTGTTCCTCTTTTCCTACCCGTAAAATGGGGAGACTATTCACCTACCTCCCCCAGGCAGGGCAGCAACTAATGAGCGTTTGTAAAGCACTCCCAGCTCCTTAGGTAGCAGCTGCTGGCACAGGGCAATAATTATTAAATTTATGTTAATTGTCCTGAGGCAAGAGGCGCATGAAATACACTTGATACATAACTTTCGCATTTTACTATATTAATCATCGCCGAACGGCTTCACTCTCTCTGGGCCGGATTCCAGTCTCAGTTACACCCGCACAAAGCTGGAGGGACTCCAAAGAAGCCGGAGCTGCTTCAGTTTTACATCAGTGCCAGGTTCAGACCTTGGATTCTCCTTGCTCTTTACCTGCCGCAGCCAGACGGCCGTGCAACCCCCCCCAGCTCTTTGCACCTGCCATGAAAGGACCTTCCCAAGGTGGCGAACGCCTTATCCTGGCATAATCGAGAGCAGAGCTTGGGGGCACTGGAGGTGTGCAGGCACGCCGGGGCGATAGGAGAGAAGCTGGGAAGAAACCCTTCTGCAGCTCTTCTGAGAGCCGGGCCTTATCAGATCCAGCCCTACGGCCCAACATCTACCAAGTCAAGCTCAGTTCTCAGTGGCTTTTAAGAAGAAAAGTGACGCATTTAAAAGGCGAAAAACGCAGGCACCTCTTGCTCGCACCCCCCTCCCTTCCCCCCTCACATCTGCGTGGCGTGAGCTCAGTGTCAATTTATAGCAAAGTCACAGAAAGTCCCCAGACTTCCCCCTCTTTAAATCTGATGTCTGATATCTTCTGATCTCGCATTTGCTTGCCTCGTCGAGCTCAGGCTGCACTTGCCAGGCTGTCTGCGGAGACGCCGGACGGCTCGGACGGGAGGGGAGAACATCGACTCTGGAGGGGATCTCATGCTCCCAGTGAAGTTCCCTGCCACGGCGGTGCTCCATGGGTATCCTAACAGCAAACTGCCCCCAGCCACAGTTTTTGAGGGGCTTTGACCCTCCCCTGGGAGCTCCACATCCAGGTGAGCCCCACCATCCCCCCCAAACGCTCTAATCCGCAGGCTCCTGGGTGTGTAAAGTCCAAACCAAAGGAAAACATGCTGACACCAGAGAGCAAAACTCGGTAAGGATGAACTCCCAGCAGAAAGCAAAACCCAGCGGTATTTTGAAAATGTATCTTCCCTGCTGTGTGAAGTAAACCAAGGAAACCTCAGATCAACACCATAAACGATTTCTTCTAATCTCTGTGCGTCCCTAGACCTCCGGCATCTCTGTGTTATCTGAGGGCCTTTGGAGACGTGAGCAGCATCTGTCACATGGTATTTGTGCTTTCCCCAAGGGGGAAAGCGTGTGCAGTGAGGTGTCTTGTTTTGGTCCACATTCTATTATTGCAATATACATTTGAGCACAGAAGAAGAAAAATAGGTTTATGTTTTTCCTTTAACCAGTTTTCTCAGGCAGAGCTTAGCAGAGAAGCCAAAAGGACTTCAAAGACCAAGTTCCACGGAAATTTAATGGAAATCAAATTCTCTGCTTCTATCTCAGCTGAAACCCTATCCTGTGGTAGTATCTGGCATGTGATGGAGAAAATCCTGAAAAATAAATCAAGTGATCTCTATGTTGGTAATGTTTTTAAAGATTATTTAGCCGTACGACTTAACTGAGGGCTTCATGTGGCTGCATCATGCTGCACTGTGGTTGCTCCAGTCCCCATCCTGTCTGAACGCGGGCGCAGCCCCGTGAGGTTTTTAAGCCTCAAGTAAATAGCAGTGCTGTACTTACATCCTCTAAAAGGGGCTGGTTTGTGGGGAGACCCAGCAATTACCAGCAAAACCCCCAAAACCCTAAAACTATCCTGATAAAAAGAAAGTAGAAAATTTTATGCAAATATAAGTCAAGGCAAACACAGGGGCTCATTTAGGAGTGAAAGCCCAGAGGAGAGCCGCGGTGGGATCAAGACCCTTCCCGGCTCTTCTAGACCCTCTCCGGTTTGTATCCCACCCCATATCCACCGGTGGGACCTGGCAGCTCTAAACCCTATGAAACAAGGCAGAGAATGAGTTAAAAACCACCACCTTGGACTGGCAACCCTCTTCGGTACAGGCTGTCTCCCCAGGACTTCCTGCTGCCTGTCACTTAGAGCTAGGGACGTCAGACTTTGTCACGCAAGAGAGAATCGCTATTAATGGGTTTCTTTCATCAGAACAACCTGAGCTTTTTAATTTCTGCAGCGGTTGGCTTCATTAAAAGCCCTTCCCCATCTACCCACAGCTGTCACGGAGAGGAAACCAATGCCGTCAAGTGAACAATAGCTCATACCTTAGAGAAGACGGAGGTGGTTTCTAGCTTAACCCAAGGACTGACTCAAAGCCTCCCGAAGCCAGTGGGCGGATTTTCAATCAACTTCAAACAGCTTCAGACCTCATCCCAAGAAATCTGTCTGAGAAGTCTTAATCACCCGGACCTGTGAATTTTGGGGCACGAAACCTGCTGTTGGGTTGGAGATTTTGCACTGCATTTCCGGCTGTGCTAGCGCTGGCTTGCAGGTCAATATTTATGGAAATGACAGTCCTTAGTACTATAAAATGATGGCAGCTACTGACCTTAGGCACTTCTTGTCAACAGCGCAAGGATTTTAATGCTGGATCGGGTTTCCGAATCAGTTAACTCCGATATTGAACATGACATGATGTAAACATTGACAGATCACCTACGATCCTTGATGCAATAACAAGATCTGTATCAGCATATCAAACAAACGATCCCATTGAACACTTCCCAGCTGGAAGAGCCGATGTGAATTTGACACTTTAGGCCAGTAATAAGAAGCATACTGGAAGTTTTGGGTGTTTCCTTGGAATGCAGACAGCGAAACAGTGTGTGCCGGCACTGGAGCTCAGGCCATCAAAGCTATGATTTAAAGACATGCTTTCTGCATTAAAACATTTCAAAGACCAAACAGACCCTGCTCTTCCTTCTAGGAGTGTGCAACCTGGTGTGGCTTCCGAAGCTGGGACCGGCATGGGGTTTCCAGGCAGTGGCGGGGGGTGTTCACCAAAAGCAGCTTATTTCCCCAGATTACTGAGATGCAGAATATAAAGTTGATCAAAGGTAGAAAGGGGATCCAGGAACTTCATGGCTTGAGTGATACCAAATCTCAGAGCCGGCAGATTTGATTTAAAAAAACACTCTTTGGGGTGCCTGGGTGTCCCAGTCCCCTGATTTATCTGTGCTTAGATGTAGATGGGGTTACAGCTGGGAGAGACAAGGAGCTGCACAGCCTGCTCTCCAACCTCAGCGGGTTCGGATTTGGGTGTCACGTTTGTCCCCGTCCCCCACTGTAGCCCCGTGCTACCAAAGGATGGGAGAGCAGATGGTGGGAAGTGGCTTGGCCCTCTCCAGGCGTCTTGCTGCGAAACGCTGGCGGCAAGCTGGAGCGAAGGAAACGTGGAGCGTTTCAGCTCGGGGGGGGGATGTTCATTAACACACACATTTGCAGATCATTTCCTTAGCTCCAGTAAGGAGGAGACAAGAACCAGGAGACGGTAGCATGGGCTGGGGCAGCAGCTCGAGCCGAGCCATCAGCGGCCACAGATGCCCCCACTTGTCCACCTTCAAAGCAAGGCTCCAAGCATCCCACCGGCAAGCTCCCACCATCCTCCACCCAAGGCTCTGCTCAAATACTAACAGCCAAGCTCTACAGCTTAGCCGAGAAGGAGCTCACCAGGAGCAGCCCATGCAGCCATGCTGCACACAGCCCAGTGGCTTAGTCTCTACACGTCCGTGAGAATGGACCACAAGAAAGCAATCAGCAGCGGATAAAACTCCGGCTCAATGCGCAAAACACCTTTCAAATCACTCTTGTAGCCCTCAAAATAGGTACTTCAGAGAGACACGCCAATCCTCTACAGAGGGTTGAATTTTTTCCCAGTCTGAGTCTCGGCTAGACTATCAAGTCCCAGCATGTGCTCCAGAAACAAGCCACATGTGAAACGCCTGTGTTATGGGAACAGCAGGCCTGTCCCTTACAGCAGATGTTGGGGCGGTTTCATCTTTGCACACCTATAACACAAGACATGAACATCCCTCAGATTTTCCCTGGAAACCCACCTCCAGCTCGAGACTTGCCATGGGAAATTCCCGGCCAAGAAGAATTTGGTGGAGCCCCATGGCCAGTGAAGGAGGGAGGGGAGGACAGCGTGGAGACAGGAACCGGGCTGCCCACAGTGCCAGCAGCTGGAAGGGACTCAAACATGACGTCTCCACGGAGGATGATGGAGATCTTCACCGAGCTCCGGTGAGCAGCAGCGGCCGGCAAGTGCCAATGCTACTTCAGCCCACTTCTAAAAGCTGAAGCCCAGAAGTTCACAG